CTAAGCTTAAACGTTTAAACATACCTCTCATCTAACTTCCGAATTACTTCACGGATTACCGAATTACTTTGATAGTTGATAGAATGGAAGGTATTCTATTGAATTTTTTTGGTGTCAAGCTTTGCCAATTCGTACCCGTGGCTGCCAATCCATTTTTGTTGCTGCGAAACGTTACGCTAATATGTCTTTCATATCGTGTAACATTTCGGTTGATTATCCAATCAGATTTAAAGCCCGCTATGCTCATTTCGAGAGTTCACGTCTGAATTTCGCCTCCTCTAATCTAACTTTTTGTACGTGGTTATTAATCTTATTAAACAGCTCATCAGGAATGAATTGAGAGATAAGTTTCACATCATCATAAAAATCATTAAGTCTTTGCTTAGATTTGAATAGATCAATAAAAATTTGATCAACTCTTAGAATAGTTTCTTCACCTAAATCTATTATCATACGATTGACTGAAGAATTTTGCGATAATATTTTAGAGAGTTTTGATAATGGATAAAGAGTATATTCTATAGGAACTCCTTTTCCACCATTATATGTTTTAATATATGATGGAAGATTTGACAAAAGTTCTCTGGCATCTTCAAAGGACTGAGTAATCTTATGAGGAATAACGTCTCCTAATATCTTTATTGAAAATCGGGTAGTGTTATTATATGATCCCTTATCAACACCTATATGTGTACCTGCAGAAATTGATAACGAAATTTTTTTAATATTAGTTTTCAATTCTCCACATACTTGAGATTTGTTATCTTTATTTGTATCCTCATGTTCAAATGATGCCATAATGGCAGCCCCCCACTTTATGCCTATTACTACATGTGTAGCTTCTGGCATATTAAAAGCATCTGTTGAAATGCATGCTTTAATGTTTTCACGATAAATATCCAGATTTTCTTCAACCGTTGTCATTTTGTATCCTAATGTACCTTTTACAGATTTAGAACTATTTTTTATGTCAACTAGATACTTTCCAGATCCATCTAATGCAACTAAACCTAAAAGAACACTTATTTTTAATTGAGGCTCAACTTCGAAGTTATCAAATTTGGTCATATATGATTCTTCATAATCAGACATTACTTTAGAATTAGGTATTTCCACTTGATTTATAGAATTAGAAGGTAGCTCAGTCTTCAATATTGAAGTTTTACAAAAGGTATCTTTCGTAGCATCGTACAGGGATCCAATAACTGCAGCCCTCCCTAAAGCTTTTCGTTGTATAGTTTCTGCCATATACAGAAGTTAAAAATATGTAAACCTCGCAGTTTAAAAATTTAATAACCTTCAGTCTTAGCACGTTATTTTTATGCTTATAAAATTATGGTCTGAAATATAAATATATTCTGAATATGTGATATTACGTTAACGAAAAATAGCTCTTAAATCACGTTTGTAACCATTAAAATTTTTAATAAAAAGCAACAACAAAGTTAAGGTATTTTTATTTTTGCTCAGCACTTAGATACGTACGTACGTACCTGCTTGCATTATAATATGGGATCTTTGCTAGGAAAATCCCGAAGTTTTTTCCGATCGGGCCAATTCGGAAAAGCTTAAACCAGAATGCCGGTTCTTATTCTTATGCAATCATCTTTTTAATTTATTGATTCTATAGTTTATTTAATAAACTATCGAAATAATAAAGCAAAAGGTGATTTACATATGAATAAGAACCGACATTCTGGTCTAAGCTTTTCCGAATTGGCCCGATCGGAAAATCCCGAAGGGTGATTTTCCTAGCAAAGATCCCATATTATAATTTTATTAATTAATAATTATAACTATATATATATAAAGTTTTATTAAATTAATTGATTTTTATATTTTTAATAATGCTGTTTTAAAAAAAACTACTTAAAATATAAATATTAATTAAAAAAGTTTTTTAATTTGTGCTAGTTAAAAATAACCAGTATACAATATTTTAAAAATATATATTAAGTAAATATAATTAGAAGTTCTAAATAAAAACATTCAAAATTTTACAAAAGCTAAGATTAAAAGTTATTTTATATAAAATCTCTGCTACTGTATACTCTAATTTTAAATTTTAATAGGGGTGGTTATTTTTAACTACTGGCATAAGAAATAATAATTCTAGTTAAAAATATTAATTAATTCAGTAAATTTTATCTTTTATTATTAACAATGCATTGATAACAAATCTTTAGAAACAAGATTTGTGTTTTAATATTATCACAAATCAATCTTGACGTGGTTATAGAAACTAACAAAGTTGATATGTGTCAGTTATGGGTTAGCAGTTGTCAGAAATACAGAATAATATAAAGAATCTCTGGAGCTAGAGATTTTGCTTTGTTATACAAAACTTTATTAGTAGGTTCGTTATATCGGAACTAATTTAAACATAAAGTTAGAGATGAGCCTTGGTAAGAATTGATCGAATAATTGTTTGGCCGATTTGATAAGTTTTCGGTAATATGTAATTACGTATAATGTGCTATATCTTTGTGCTTCAGATAAGTTGGATATTATATTAGATTAAGTTGTTATTACTTCAGGAAAGTTGGATATTTCGGATTCAACAGTAGTTACTTTAGACAAGTTAGACATTTTTAAAATGTCTACTATAGACGAACTATCTTCATTAGATTCTGCTTTTTGATCTATATTTTATAAAATACTTTATAGATTTTTATTATGATTTGATTATAATTTTCAATGCAGTTCGACAAATATTAGTAAAATTTGAATGTTTGGAATTATAACTTGAGTTATATTTTCTTTAGTCCAGTCAATAAATTTTTGGTTGTATTGAACCTTTTTTTTATTAGCGCTTCGTGTAATATATTTTATTCAAAACCTTTTTATGTTACTTGATAGGATCTGTTGGTTTTTTGGCAAGAATAACCTTCGTCGTAAATTTTCGTACAAACTAAACATGCATTCAAGCGAAATCTTAATTTTGGATATGTTAACATTGTTGTATCGTTCAGAATAGAACTAACCAAATACGGATTTACTGTCAACTGTCTTCAGCTTATTCCGTTGCACAATGAAGCAATTGAATCGCTTTTTAAAGTCATAGCTCCAGATTAAACCTTAATTATGGCTAGAGCATGACTTGGCCATGGCTCAGGTTGTAGTAAATAATACGTATCGATAAGCTTTGCATTAAATATTATACTACAGTAATGATGATTTTAAAGCAATATAGTATTTAAAGAAGCCATACAAATGTCAACAGTTCTAAAAATCTTTAATGGGTTGAAATTGGACTACAAAATTCTTTGTCAGGTTTTTACATGATATTTCAACTAAGTATTTTCTTATTTAATCAATTGAATTATCAATCAATATACGTACGTATTAATTAATATCACATTTCAATTTTTATTAATATGATTCAAGGTTCTCTCAAGTAGTGTTCCGAGTTGATTAAAAATTTTTCAATCGATTAGTTGTCAACTTAGTTGTCGATTTTGCAAATAGTAGTCACATGTTTTCAATAAATTTGATTGGCATAATAAATAATCACGTGTTTTCTGTATCATTTCAAACCATTCTGATTGGCCGAAAAAATTCTACACCTTAAATTTATTATTATGTAGATAATACCCCGATCACTATTCAAGATCACGGGAGTATTATTATTACTAATCAACCAACGATTAGTTGGTTAAAAAATTTCAATCGATTAGTAAACTAGTTGTCAACTAGTTGTTTTCAACTAACGATTTGGATCACTACTCTCAAGCACATAAATTATAGGTCGGAACTCAATTTTAATTGGCGGAAAGTAGTTTAACCGGTAAGTAGGTTCATTGTCGCGATAAAAAAAAAGTTTGAAGCCATCTTTTTTTTCATAAACTTCAGCAAAATTACAGTAGGGATCGCTTCAATTAATCAGTATTTATGAATGTTCTCGATAGCTATCTAATCACATTGAGCACTCTTAGTCTAAGTTTAGTGATTATTCATTGGCCTAATTGGTCTAAGTATTTAATATGAGCTATTCACATTTTATTTAGCTTCTTATCCACATTACACAGGTTGAATCAATGAATGTCGGGTGCATACCTGAAGATGATATGCACCTGATAGTCTGCCATAAATACTTGCCAAATATCAGTAGCATTTTGGCAGCATATTGGTAAGATATCAGGAGATAGATCGATATCAGCAACATAATAGTAAATTATTGGGATATCCCGATATCTTACTTTTAGGGCCCATAGTGCTAAGAGTAAGATATCTTGGTATCCCAATATTGTGCTGTTATGTGATCTACCTCCTGATATCTTACCAATATGCTGCCAATATGCTGCTGATAATATCGGGAAACGTACGCGCCCGATATTCATTGGTTCAACTTGTGTTAGTCTATATGATTATCATCTGCTAAGATCATTTCTAAATTATACAGATTATTATGAACGGATCCGTACGAAATACCACTATTTTTAATATCTGTTCGGAGTAATGTATTATTAAGGTTAGCATTGGAAAATTGTAGTGGATTGTTATAATATGATTTTTAAGACGTAATTTACACTCTATACGTACTATATACTGTACATCTGAAAATCTTATGAAATTTTTTGTTTGTTTAAATTGCGTCTCATATCAATCACAGATCGAATGAAGGTAAATCGGGCACCAATCGGCAACACGTAATCTCGATATGAACATGATTTGAAACAGATATTTGGCACAAATAAGAAACCTTTAAGATGCAAATCGAGTTCATATAGGGTTCAATACATATCGGAATGCCGATAGCTCTATAGGTAAATCTATAAAGCTTGCCTTATAGCCTTTTCGATTTACTTATAGAGCTATCGGCATTCCGATATGTATTGAACACCTATATGAACTCGATTTGCATCTTAAAAGTTTCCTATTTGCGCCAAATATCTGTTTCAAACCATGTTCATATCGGGATTACGTGATGCCGGTTTGTGCCCGATTTATCTTCATTTGACCTGTGAATATAGTTATCACGGGTTGATCGGATGCATACCGGGAGAAAAGTTTTCAAATATGTACCCGTTAATCGGCCATAAATCAGCCAAATATTTACTGAATATCAACAGCATATCGACAGCATATTGATAAAATATCGAGAGGCAGATCAATATCAGCAACATAACAGCAAAATATTGGGATACCCCGATATCTTATTTTAGGCCCAGTGTGCTAAGAGTAAGATATCAGGGTATCCCAATATTGTGCTATTATGTTGCCGATATCGATTTACCCCCTAATATCTTACAAATATCACAGGTTCAATAAATACATAAAGGATACACATTGTGATCCCTTTATCATCCCGATACCTATCCTTTATGCAGTGTTGTACATGAACACTGTCCATTTATTTTTTTATGGACATCTGGACATTGGACAAAAATCGTCCATGTCCGTGTCCAAGTTGTCCAAATATATATTAATATGTATGGTCTAAAAAGAGACTTATGATCTTTGTTACTAATTTTAGCTATAATAATATATTTTAAAAAAAAACTTTATTAACTACTATTAAAGGGTTTCAGAATTAAAAAAAAAAATAGCATATTTCTTAAATAAATAAGAGTTTAAAAAATCTTATTTGCATATTAAAATTTTGAAATCGGAAAATGAAATAGAAGTGTTTAGAGCTCCTATTTAACGAAATAAGTAAAAAATTTTTTATTATGCATATTAGAGGTCTGCAACCGGGCTCGTGCCTGTGCCCAGCAAAAGGCACAGGCATGGGCACGGGCATAAGAATTTGCCATGGGCACAAAAATTTGGCACGGGCATGGGTATGAGTATGGGCACAAAGATTTGGCATGGGAATGGGCACAGGCACAAAAATTTAATATTTATTAATTAATTGTCCCTGGCACTTTTTTGCCTATGTCCATAAAATGCTTGGTATTTGTGCCCATGCCCAGAATAATGGCTGGCATTTTTGTGCGTAGGCATGGGCATGGCATGATGCACTAGTGTATGTCCTGGTGCCAATGTGCCCGGCATGCCCATTTGCAGACCCCTAATGCAGATCAATAAACTATTTAATAACAAAATATAGAGTAATAATAAAACCTTTCGCTCAAATTACTTATTAAACCTTTGCTCAAATTATTTTTTATATAACTTACTAAACTTCGCTCAAATTATTTATTAAACCTTCACTCAAATTACTTACTGAATCTTCGCTCAAATTATTTATTAAACCTTCGCTCAAATTACTTACTAAACTTTCACTTAAGGTATTTTTTTATATA